AATGCCTTTTAGAAGATATTCACATGTGATACAGTAGACTTTATATGGTTAAAGTAAACTTCTAAAAGGAGTAGTACAGCACATTGGCATTGGGTTTCATTCCATATATAGTCAATTTTCTGTAATCTTTAGAGTAGTCTACTTCTTAAATTGGTTTAGTGAATTTAATAAGAAGGCCATACATTTTTAAACAGCGTTTTCATTATTAATACATTTCAGTCCTTCACTAAACCTTGACGAGCACTGGGCTGAGCTTGTGCCTGCATCTACAAGCAGAAATCCACTTCACAGACCACCTGTGTGAGAAATACATGCCACACTGAGTGGAAACTGAAGGGCAACCTGCCCTGACAGGACTCCAGGAATCCTGTTTATCTGCTACTTGCATGTATAATTTTCTTCTGGTGCAGCTTTGCAGATGACGTGGAAATAGCCACTCTGCATGATGACAGGAGTGTGGAGCCTGATGCTCAGCGTGAGAACATGAGTAGCATAGCAGCAGGTGGAGAAGATGACGGTAGATGAGGTTAATGCTTCCAGATGCTTCTTTCTCAGCCTGAAAAATAGAGCCTTATCGACTTTCTTAAAGGCAGTAGGAACACATACAGTTGAAAGGTTACAGATAGGGTTGAAAAAGGTTGTGTATATCATGTAAATCTACATTTTTTGTTCAAGAACACTTAGAAGTGGACTTCAGGCAATGAAAATGATAATACAGTTCCTTTTAAGAGTTCAGAAGGTCACAGTGATGTCTTTTCCAGAAACCTATGAAGAAAAGCACCAAGAAAATTGTTATAGGCTACTCTTACTTATCTCTTTCTGCTTGCATTTCAACCTCTCATGGCCTGGCTAAGCGCTTTAGCAAACCATTGCCTAGCAACTCAGCTCAGCTGAATGCAATGTCCTCTCTACCAAGGACTGCGCTTTAAAACGCATTTGAATTATAAAATAGACATTTTAAAAGGAAGAATTGTGCCATTATATGTGAACGGACCAGGTATTTAGTCACAGCATTACAAAATAAAATAAACAGGCTACTATATATTTTATTAAAGCCCCTGTTTAGAAAAAAAAAGTCCATTACAATGTACTTGAAATAAATATGAACTTATATAATATAAAGTATTTAATAAAGCTAAACTTATTTTATTTCAGGTAGTTTAACATTTTAGTTTAGTTTTAGTTTTGCACAATCATTTACTTTTACATAATAAAAAAAAATTGTTTAACACAATGTACTAAAATAATTAAACTGAAATAAAAATTCCTAACATAAAATAAAAATTAAAAAATCCTATGAAATAAAAAAAAAAACTTTTTTTTTTTTAAATTTTAAACTGGCTGAACATCGCTAGTCTTACTGTGAATGATTCATTGTTGAATGGTATTCAAAAAAAAAAAGTTAGACATTTTTTGAGAAAAAAATGTGTAAGCCCGTGTATTAGTGATTTATGTGAACCCCTTCAATGATTATTTATTCATATTTCCATCCAACACTCTGCAGTCAAATAATCTGTGTGTTTCATGAACTGTAGCATTTTCTTCTTTGTGTTCTCGTTCTAATTTGCAGTGTATTATTTCTTTTGCATTTCTCATTTTCTTTTAGATGATGCATTTCTCAGTGTGGTTCCTAACTTAACAATCATTTACTTTTACATAATAAAAAAAAATTGTTTAACACAATGTACTAAAATAATTAAACTGAAATAAAAATTCCTAACATAAAATAAAAATTAAAAAATCCTATGAAATAAAAAAAAATATATTTTTTTTATTTTAAACTGGCTGAACATCGCTAGTCTTACTGTGAATGATTCATTGTTGAATGGTATTCCAAAAAAAAAAAGTTAGACATTTTTTGAGAAAAAAATGTGTAAGCCCGTGTATTAGTGATTTATGTGAACCCCTTCAATGATTATTTATTCATATTTCCATCCAACACTCTGCAGTCAAATAATCTGTGTGTTTCATGAACTGTAGCATTTTCTTCTTTGTGTTCTCGTTCTAATTTGCAGTGTATTATTTCTTTTGCATTTCTCATTTTCTTTTAGATGATGCATTTCTCAGTGTGGTTCCTAACTTATTGTAAAAGAGGAACTAAAGTGTGGCAAGGCAACGTTTTTGCCAGCATTGTGCAGTCAGTCATATTTAATTGAGCCCTGGAGGAAGTTGGACTATAAGAGCATTTCCATTAGCTTTTTTTGCCAAACATAGATTAAGTGTAAAAAAAAAGTGTATCAAATTAAGTTTTGTTTTTTGGTTTAAACCTCTTATTTCTAGAGAGATTTTGCACATGATAGTTGCCTATCTACAAATGCTACACTTTTGTTGTGCCTCTGAGGTGGGCTAATTTAGCATTTTATATAATAATCTTGGCTCCTATGAGACTAGCTAACTCCAATACGAGCATAATCAACACCAACAACACAACCAAAGCAACGCAGGGGTATTATGTGTCTTGAAACGGAGTTCTATCCATGGGCTGTACTATGCAAGGCTAGTTGGAGAATAACAATAGCAGGCCGTTTGTCACTTGTCTTTTGTGACAGTACCTGCTCTCCCAGGTGATTCATTCCTTCCTTGGACCATATTTTTCAGCCATCTCAGGCGAAAGTGGCAGAGAATAATGAAAATAGTTGGACTATAAGAGCATTTCCATTAGCTTTTTTTGCCAAACATAGATTAAGTGTAAAAAAAAAAGTGTATCAAATTAAGTTTAGTTTTTTTGTTTTTTTGGTTTAAACCTCTTATTTCTAGAGAGATTTTGCACATGATAGTTGCCTATCTACAAATGCTACACTTTTGTTGTGCCTCTGAGGTGGGTTAATTTAGCATTTTATATAATAATCTTGGCTCCTATGAGACTAGCTAACTCCAATACGAGCATAATCAACACCAACAACACAACCAAAGCAACGCAGGGGTATTATGTGTCTTGAAACGGAGTTCTATCCATGGGCTGTACTATGCAAGGCTAGTTGGAGAATAACAATAGCAGGCCGTTTGTCACTTGTCTTTTGTGACAGTACCTGCTCTCCCAGGTGATTCATTCCTTCCTTGGACCATATTTTTCAGCCATCTCAGGCGAAAGTGGCAGAGAATAATGAAAAAGATTGTGCGGCCTTCATATTTCTACAAACTTTGCAGTTCCTGCGCAATATTGGTTGTACAGAGTATATAAAAATGTCTTAAAGGATTCATCCAAAAATGAAAATTTGCTGAAAATCTAATTGAAAACCCTCAGGCCAGTTTGTTTCTTCATCAGAACAGATTTGGAGAAATGTAGCATTAAATCACTTGCTCACCAACGGATCCACTGCAGTGAATGGGTGCCGTCAGAATGAGAGTCCAAACAGCTGTTAAAAACATCACAATAATCCACAAGTAACCCAGACGTCTTCAGTCAATCAATTACCATCTTGTGAAGTGAAAAGCTGCATGTCTGTAATAAACAAATCCATCAAGGCAATTTACATCAAACCATTGTTTTTGCCAAAATATAATTCATAATCTATAAAAATGCTTCCTCCGGTGAAAAAGTCCATCCCCTGTTGTCCTCTCACATCAAAATCCACCAACATATTTGTTCAGAACTGTTTTGGCTTGTAAATGGTGCTTGATCTGTGCATATTTCTCTCCTGATTCAGATCAGACGTTTTTTTTCCCCCGTCTTGATGTGTTTATCACAAACATACATTTCGCTTCATAAGACATAAATTGGTGGACTGGAGTCATGTGGATTACTTGTGAAGCATTGTGATGTTTTCATCAGCTGTTTGGACTCTCATTCTGACGGCACCCATTCACTGATGAGCAAGTGATGTAATGCTAAATTTCTCCAAATCTGTTCTGATGAAAAAACAAACTCCTCTACATCTTAGATGGCCTGCGGGTGAGTTAATGTTCAGCAAATTTTTGGGTGAAGTATTCCTTTAAATAAAACAGCAGTCATGCCACTGTTTGCATGTTGAGAAATGCTTGTAATATTAGTTTGTGTGCGACAAAATATCCTTATTGTAAATCAAATTATTATGCACTACTACAGCATAAGAGTGCTCATACACAGTAAGGCCCACATGTATTTTAATTTTCAAAGCGTGATCATTGGCTCCTGAATTTCAGATGCCTCAAGGCTGCGTACAGACTTTTTAAATATCCTGCTCATTATACTAGGAGAGATTTTTAATAGATGTTGTCCACACTGGATTGTAAAGAAATACATGAGCAGATTGTAACCATGGCACGTGTGCTAAGCTGTGAACCACAACTAGCATGAAAATAGTAAAGTGCTTTCTTCAGACAACACTTTGCTTAATTTCTGCGGAGCGTCTGTTTTCTGTATATTATTATTATTATTAAAACCCTTTTTTTTCTTAGTTGATGAATATTCAAGTTGAACTGTGTTACTTGAGTTTAAATATAATTTTGCTGAAAAGCTTATATAGTTTCATGACATATTCCATATGCATTTGGGGCATGTTATCACAAAATGTGTGCTAAAAAAAAACACCTCTCCAAAGAACTGTATTTGTATTTATTTATTTAGGCCTATTTATTTATTTATTTATACTGTAGCATATATTGTTTGTAAATAAAATGACTTTTGTTTTTAAATAACCTTGACAAATATTAACTGGCTTTAAAGCGTGACGACTAGCCCATGTGATTTACATCAAATAGTACAAAAACGAACAATTGTTAAATATAATATAATATAATTTCATGATTTTTTTTATTTGTTATTCATCCTCGGTACCCTTCACACCAACGGTTTAGCTACACACGCTTAAAGTAAAATACTTTCAAGCACGAACACAATCAGAAACAAAAATGGAATGATATTTTATTTTAGGTCCTGTCCACCCACCTACTGGGACAGCTACTTTTTCAACGACTTTCGCATTACATCACATCCAAAAGAAAAGAGCAGGAGGCGGAGATGAAAGGAACCGTGACCGACGGAACTGACGTCACTGGCATAATGTAAACTGTTGAGATGATCCATGGTAACAGACTCAGTGCAGCAACAGCGCTCGCACCGCATCCGACAGAAATGCCTCGAACCTGGGTCGCACCTGCACCGGCTCTCGCTTCTTACAAACGTGTTAGACGCGCCGTCGGCCTTTTAAACGCGACGCACCTGCCGGGCATCCAAAACATTTGATGTATGCCTTCTACAAATCTTCTGTCAGTTCACAAGAAGCAAGGAAAGCAGCGAAATGTGCGGTTGAACTGCTGCTCGTCTCAGCGCTTTCGCTTACTGTTTCTAATACGAGCAGATGAGTTTAATCCGGATGAAATAATGACTCTTGTGGATTAACGCCTTCATTGTCACTCTAGTTTTTGCTTTATCGGGATCACCTGCCTTTACCATTTGCCATTACAGTCTGTATATAACAGCCACAGTAATATAATATCGTGAAGATGGCGACTGGAGCGGGCTGGCAGCATTACTACAACCCCGCTGGCAGCACTTCGACGGGGAAATATAACAGCACCTCCACTTCTACATCCACCAGCACGTCTGGGTTAACCCTCGAATACACGCAGGACCTCCATCTGAAGATGAGCAAGAAGATTGCACAGCTGACCAAGGTAATTTTGTGCGCGTTTTGGGGATGCGTAATGCCATGGGTGCTGTTTGAGCGATGCGCATTGGAGGTGCCACCGGAGACCCCTATCCAAATTACAACAGGCTGGCCTGCTATCCGGATTAACCCTAGAATACATAATGGGGTTAAAATGACCAGAAGGGGTGGACATTTTTATTAATCAAAACATTTAATTTCGTGATATGCCATGTGTATTTCACAAAAAGGTTGTATGAAAGTCTCACCAAAATCGTCATATTTCTTGGTTATCAAAAGGAATAAGAAGCTATATATTGAATTAAAATGTAAACATGAAAACGAATTCAAAATAATAATAAAAACTGCGATAGTATCTCAATGATATTAAAATAACACTTGGTTATAGGATCAGAAAAATATGGTCAATATTATTTCATATATAAATAAACTTTAATAAAATAATTTTGTTTGTACTGGCTTAATCTTAATACTTGGCCTAATACAGTACAGTACCAGTCACATCTGACTGATTAATATCCGAAAGACATTAAAAAAAAAAATACTGACAAATATTGTTCGTATGGGCCTGGCCCATAAGTGTGCGGCAAGCATGTGTACTCTTTAAATACTGTTTAAAAAGCATCCCTCTGTGCATCTCAAGAGGTTGAGGGAAGCCCGGGGTTTGCAGAGTGACTTGAAAAGGTATTTTAATTTATTAACATTTTTGGACACTACATCATTTCCACAATGAGAATTGAAAGTGATAATAATGAATGAGGGGGTGTGTCCAAATGTCCGACTGGTGCTGTTCCCTCAAAAGGAAGCAGTGCAAAATCTGCCCTAAATCCATTTTGTGTAAAATGTGCTGGTCCTGTCTACAAGGATCATAGCTATATAATCTGCAAAGCCTGCTAGGCAAATTTGTATTTCTCACATAAACGCATTAGTTATAGCTGAATTTGATCTATGAACCCAGTACGGGTTGTTTTGAACCCCTTTATGTGCTCCTGTGGTTTCTGGGACATGTGTTCTTCGGTTAAAGCTTGCTTCAATTCAGTTTGTATATGCTTAATGTCATCATACCTTTTTATTTTTTGGTTATTTTTTAGTAATAATTTGTCTTCCTGAAAATATCTGCACTGATCATACTTCATCCTCAGGTTGGACATTCACTTGCGTAAAATTGTGTATGTTATATTTGTGGTTTAATCTGTGAATATTATCAACACCTGCTGTTTAGTATAATCCTCTTAGCCTGACTGAGATATGGGAATGGCATGTTTCCAAGCCTGCTTCAGCTATTAATTTTCAGGTATTAGAGCCAGGGTTCCCACACTCATGGACAACCTGGAAATATCAGCGTTGAGTTTGCAAACCTGGAAATTTCTATAGTGAATATACATTTTTTTTAAATAAAATATTTCATGAGCTAGATATGAATGGTGTGTAGAGCTAAACTTGTTTAAGAGCCATAGTGATGTTCAGTTTGTGAGACAATCATTGTTCTGAGTTGGTTCTTTTGTAATGAATTGGTGAAACCGGTTTACAGAATGGTGCGATTCATTTGTTGATATAATGATTGAATCTCTATAGTGTCTGATTTGAAGATTAGTATTATCGAGATAATACATACACATACACAAAGCCTCTATTTTGTGGAAGGTCATCAGGTTTTATTGTACGCCAATTGCTTTTTTGAGTTGGCTCTTTTGTAGTGAATTGGTCAGATTAGATCTCAGAATGATTCATTAGCGAATCTGTCTTATTGTTTGTTAATATAATTACTGGATCTGTACAAGTGCCTGCTTTGAAGGTTAGTATGAAAAAACAAAAAATTTTAATATACCGTCTTCACAATACCCAAAGCCTCGCTCTATTACATGGGAGGAAAATAGATATGAGTTGCTTGCTTCTCTTGTAAAGAATTGATTCAACTGGTTCACAAAATTGTCAGAATGATTTATTAGCAAAATTGTCTTGAATCGTTTATTGATATAATTACTGGACTAGACCTCTATAAGTGTCTGCATTTGAAGATTAGTATTATAGAGCAATCAAATATAATGTCTTCACCCAAAGCCTCTAATCTGTGCAAGATTGTTGATTTTTATTGTGAGCCAGTTGTTCTTATGAATTGGTTCTTTCATAATGAATTGACTGAACTGGTTCACAAAATAGTCAGAATGATTCATGGCAAATATGTCTTTGAGTTATTTGTTGATATAATCACTATAAGTGCCTGCTTGGAAGATTAGTATTACAGAGAAATCAAATGTAATGTCTTCACATAACCACAGCCTCTATTCTGTGGAAGGTTGTCAATTTTATTGTGTTTTGTAATGTACTTGTAGAAGCAAGGTTCAGGCAAGCCTTGATCTGTGTTTGTTGTCTAACCATAAGTAAAGAAACTGGATCAGGAATACAAAGTGAGCAACAAAATACATATTTTATTGAACCTGAGTCTTAACATTCATGTGTGTGACTTCATTTTCCTTGCATCATAAATTACCATACAATTATTAAGTTCAGTCACAACCTCCAGAAGATCTGCTGGTTTATGACTGCCGTTCTTGCACATGCACAGTGACGCTGACTGAAGTTCATTCGTCCTTAGGGAGCTCGGGTTGCGCCTCATAAATGAGATTACACTGCTTTGGCTGAGTATTGATGTACCTGTCAGACTGTCATTAAACATGGACACCTGGGTCATTGCTTTTAAAGGATATGCGAGGCATGAAGAGTTGATGTGTCATCAAAAAAGTGCACAGAGGATTTTAGAATTTATGATATTTACATCACATTACAGTTCTTTGTGCTTTGTACTGGATATTTAGCCCATCCATAGGTGTCATCTGTTTGTTGGTTGAGAAATGTTTTACTCAAAAATGAAAATGCTGTCATCATTTACTCTCCTTCATGTCGTTCCACACTTGTATGACTTTTTCTTCATTTTATTTAATTAAATTTTTTTTCCCATACAAAGAAAGTCAAAGTGGTCCTGTAATACAGTATGTGTGGTCTACTTGGCTTTCAAAGTATATTTGTGTTTTCTTCCTCCAAACACATAAAAATATACTTTGAAAGTAAATTAAAATGATGACCATAAAGAAAATCAAATAAAATTTAAATACAGTAAAAGTTAAATCAATCAATCAGTCAATTTGGATACAAAACTTTGCATAGTTTTCATATTGTGCTATTGGATAAACCTTTTGCATTTTTGTGTGAAATGCACAAGGCAATTGAAATGACACTGAAAATGACAACTCAATGTAAATTTAAAAGAATAGTTCACTCAAAAATGAAAATTCGGTCATCATTTACTCACCATGTCATTCCAAATCTGTTTGACTTTCTTTATTTTCTGGTTTGCCCTTACAAAAAAAGTCCAATGTCATTTGGATCCCTTGACTTTCACAATATCTTTTTTGTTTGTTTGTTTGTTTGTTTTCTAAATTAAGAAAGAAAGTAAAATGATGATCACTTTCATCTTTGGATGAACAATTACTTTACTTGTTGATACAAAACTTTGCCAAGTTTGCACTGTTATCCTAATGTGTCCAATAGCATTTTTCAAAGTTTTGATATATAAGCATTTTTGCATTTTTGTGTGATATGCAGTAGTGCTGGGCGGTATACCGGTTCATACCGAATATGTTTATTTTTGTTATGATATCAATTTTTTAAATACTGCAATACGTATGCTGCTTAAACAACGTTCAGAACGCGACACTGTTTGAAAGGGGTCCCTTTTCACTGTTGCACTGTGGTGAGGGCACAGCTGAATGTGTTACTAAGCGTGAAAGTTCAGAAACTGAAGCTGTAGAACTAATAGAACGTGATGACACAGAAGAACTCATCCACAAAATCCACTGCCCCCTGCCATCAGCTCCACCGTCTCACACACACACGCGCGCGACTTTAGCACTAGATTTAGCAACTTTCAGACCCTTTTAGCTGCTTTTTTCTATAGAATATTCATACTGACAAACCTAGTGACTTTTTTGGATAAACCTTAGCTATGGTTCAGTTGGAAGATTTCACCAGTGCTGTCCCACGAACGCGACGTCTGACTTTCCCGCAGAAGTGTCACCTCTCTCTGCGTCTGTTCTGTGCAGTGAGCCGCAGAGATGCAGCGCATTCAGTTGGCCGCACCGCAGCCGACTCGCCAATAAATGAGTACAAAACAGCGTTTCCTAGCACCTGTCGCTTACTGATTGTTTGGAATTATAAATATGAGCGTAGTTCGTCTGTTAATATCACATGCACTTTTTTGTTTGTTGTTTTTTTTTAGTTTGTTACTCAGATGCAGGCAGTGCGCTGCATTAGACAAAAAAGTAATATAGCCAAAACACCCCCATAGCCACTCTTTAGTGTAGATGCATGTAGATTTTATCAGACGATGCCGCGATTATAAATGAGTGACTCCTGGTTAACATGTATTAAAAGGGGTCGTGTTTAGTCACTATTTAGTGTGGTATTTTTTAACAATATTCACTCATCATGACAGTAAAATAGGGCATTCTAAGTCAATATACTGCAGTATTTCCTCTCAATCAGTAGAAAATATGGTTAACACCAGGTCATGCATGAAAAAAAAAAATACCGTCATGTGTCTTGCTCAAGTTTTATGCAGCTGGTTTGAGTAAAGCTGTAATGAGACCCCAAGATCCTGACTGCACAGTGTTTTAAGATACAAGTTTATCATTTTTATGTTTTCAACATTTTCTGCCTTCCACAGTTAAGTGCATTGTTAGTGCATTAGGACTTTGTCAGCCACTTCCTCATGTGGTGCTCAACGTAATTCGATAGACTCATAAAGCTGAAACCAGTCTCCCTGACTGGCCTTTTTCTCTTTGGTTATGGGTTACCTTGGCATCCACACTTCCCAGTCTCCAGATGGGCCCAGTCTGGATCTCACGGCCTCCTGATGGGTATCAATAAACTCCAGAAGCATCACGTCGCAATTAATTTACCCCCTACAGATTGTTTGTGTGAAAACATTTGATGCTTCTCACACAAATG